GTGCAGGTTGTTGTATACTTTGTGTGCCTGTTTGCATATTTTATTGGGTGTGAGACTTGCGCATTAGTATATTAGGGCAATCTTTCTTACAGTGTATCATATCTAATAGGGAGAAGCTTAATAATGATTTAAATAACGTATTTTAACTCTCCTCCCCCTAAGATACAACCTTTTAAACTTTACATGAAATAGCTCATATAAACCATTTTCTTTTTTGACTTTGTCTATATACTTTTAGATTTTGGGAGAGCATATATTAAAAATAAGGTATGAGAACAAGTTCTCGATGCATTGGATGCATTAAATAATGTTGAGTTCGAAGGAACAAGACCCTTAGGTGCATTGAACTATATATGGTGCAACTAAACATAGGATCTTGTCTGCTGGAACAAGACCCTCAGGTGCATTGACTACACACCAACAAAAAAGCATGATCATTCAAAAAGGATCTACCTTGGGAACAATACCCCAAAAGTATTAGCACTCGGTTAAAACTCCATAATGAAGGAATTCAAGAGATGCACCCAAGATTCTTGATCAATAACTTCGGGAACATAACCCCCAAAAGTTTGAACTCAAAGTCTAAATGTCATGGAAATGATGAAATACACCAAATACATGTAAATGCAAGTAGAACATGTGAGACACACAGGCAATAGAGATCCTCCATTTGGACAAATTGGGTAAATAAAACAAGCAAAACAGACGAATATGCACGAATGAAAAAACTCATCTCCCATCATTATAACGACGATATTATGGAATCATGGAATTGATGACATTAAACAATCCCTGTAGTGTGGAAAAAAAAGGAGTGGCACCATGGCACTGACAAACGATCGCCTGGCATCAGTTCCATTTACTACCCAAATAAGAAGTGGGAGATGTCAACATCCTAGATGTCAAATGCAACCTATACCAAGTTAGTGGCATGAGTCAAATATTATTGTGTACGCCTCATGTAGATGGTCAACAAAAGGATAAAATAGAAGAATATGAACTTACATATAACATGTCGATCATGACATGAGTGATGTAAGTCATACTGATTAGTTAAATATAGAGAGCAATCACTCTTATGGAAGGGTGTACCAACACTACAAAATAAAAATTCAAAGACTTCTGATTATAAAGCCTAGGAATTTATTTGTTTAGAACAACCAAACCTAACTAGCAGAGCAAAGTTAGAATGATACCACCCATAAAGAAAAGTGTATCAACAATCCATTGGTAAAAACTCCTCAGTTCATCTAGTTTATAAAAACTAGAGGACTTGTTCGGTGTGGTGGAAACCAAACCCAACTAGTAGGCAAAAATTACCCACATTTGTTACACTACACAAGTTGGTGCATCAACTGCATGACCTGAACAAACAAGACAAGTAAATGGCTCGGCATGCTCATAGCGTTACAATGTTAAAGGTCTGCATTGAAGCTCTAAGAGAAAAAAAAAACATTATGATTATGATAAAAGAGGCATGTTGTCAGGTCATTGTAAAAGGGGTTGTGGCTGCGGCACTTGAATTGGTGTCATGACGTTAATCTAGATTGATACTAGGTTCATTAAAGGTTAATGCATTTAGAGAAACAGCACGGTCAGGCCCTGAACAACTTGCATCATGGTGCTGGGATGCAGAACTAGGGTGCTATGGAAAACTGACTTAGGCAGTCTCACATCATTCCAGAGGTAATGGCATGAGACTACTAATGGCTAGAACCAACGACAAAAGAAACAATAAATAGTGCCTAGATATTTCACACCTGACAAGAAAAAGGGGAAATAATGTTGCAGTGCCCAATGAATGACACCAAAATACCAAGGTAAATCTAAAGCCATGAGACTAAGAAATGTGGTAAAATATGGGGAAATGTGGGATCCTAACTTTGGTTTTTCCTAACAATAACACATCCAAGCTTGTCTAATATGGATACCTAAGGCTTCTAAGGATATGCACTCACCTACACAGCGGTTTATGATGCCCTTAAGATTTGAATACTCTGACAAATGCCTTGTGTAAGCTCCTCCAACTACAAAACCATTTTGGCTTCAATATCAGGCCTTTAGAATCAAACGCGAAAAATGGAAGGAAATAAGGGGGGAGAGAAAACTCTTAGAATACTCCCATGGCTGAAAAGGATTATAAATCGCCAAGCTTCCAACCTTGAGGTGAGAAAAAACCTCACAATGACTCGCCAGAATCTCTCAAGGAGCTCAACGAACGATGTATGAACAATCAAGCTCTACACTCACCAATATAAAGTTGGAAGTGGAAGAAGAAAATGGGAAAAATCTTTCCCTCCCTCGAATTTGCTCTGAAAAGCCCAAAGGGGTGGTTGAAATAAAAAAAAATTTCCAGCTCTAGGGGCAACCTCGAGCTGCCCCTTTTATAGGGTAGAAAGTCAGTTTGATTTTGTGATGCCAACTTACGTCGTCACGACACTGTAGACGTGTCAAGCGCCATATCATCCAAAAATATAAAGTATGTGGCTCTAGGTCTGACATTTGTCAGCATGGCGTCGCGCACCAGATAATGGTGTTGTTGACATGGCACCGACAACCATTCAACTAGGTGTCACACTCGGGGTGTGAAAAGTTGACTTTGTATGGCACCTGATGTTGTAACTTAGCACTATGGTGCTACTATGAGGCATTTTGTTTGAAATAAAAGGAAAATAAATTGGAACTGGTGCCTAGGTGCCAAGATCAATTTTGGTTGACTTCGTAAACAAGTGCTAGTGATCGGGTATTGAGGCGTTTCACGAAGTATTAGCATTAAAATGATCCAAAAATGACACGAACACTTAGGCTGTGAAATGAGACTTATACTCTATAATTTGATGAAGAGAGAAGCCCATGGGAGGCCTTGGATCATAGGAATTAGGATTTTATAGACTATGGAAGAAACCTTAGGGTTAGGAATTAAAACATAACCACATCACAGATTATGAAGTCCCAAAATATTCAATGTATATCTTGACGTGTTAGAAATTTCACTAACCCACCTAGTCATATGTGCATGTGATATGCTAGTTAAGCGGAGATTGAATAAAGGCAAACGAACCTTAGAGCTAGCTAAACGGAGACGAGACATGTGTGAAGTGTATGTATCTAGATATATTATATATAGTTAATCCTAATTATAGTTACTCATGATGTCATGATATGATGTGCACCAACAAGTTAGAAGCTAATATATCACCTATCTATATCCAACATGATAAACCAAATGTCCAATCATTATATTAATCAGAACCATATGCTAGGGTATTTTCATTTTTACATAGTTCTAATATATGAGTGAGTGATGTATAGTCCTATGAATATTGTCACCATCAAAGATAATTCAAGTATAACAATTATAAAACATCATGGAGTAGCTAATATAGAATAATTAAAGCATTGTAAAACAGTAAAAGACAAATAAAATTGAATGCAAATTTTACGGCCCTAATTATATCACAACTTCGAACTAATATTGACGCAATATTATTACATTAAACTAGGTGTTTTGTGAAAGCCTGGTTAATAATTACAGTTAAAATAAGACAAACATATATCACAAGTATATATCATATATGTGTGGCAGCATTGATCTTGTAGTGTATAAGGAGACCCACTCACAATCATTTAAATTATATAATCAAGAACTTTCATTTTTTTTATCCAATAATGCAAATGGCATGAAAGCATTTTGTTTGTCTGTTGTTTCATGCATGATAATAATTATAATAATAATTCTATTTTAAACAATGATAATATTTCTCCAATTGCTATCTATTATATACAAGAAATAAAGAGTCAACAATAAACTCAGCCAAACATTATTAGTTTCACAAAGATTGGAATGAGGCCATGCTAGAATCATTCAATATATTGGGATTCTGGCTTACAACTTACAAAATACATGTAGTAATAGAGCTCTGCTCAAAACCACAAACATCCTGCAACTCAAAATCAATATATAAAACAACGTGCCAAACAATCTTCCAACAATGCTTTGGCTGTGTCTTTTAACAATTCAAATTTACATCATTAAACTATACAGTACAAAGTACTATTTCTTCCTACGAATGCTAACTTGGAGCCAAAAACTTAGAAGATGGTGGCCTTAAATTCTCAAACTCTTTTCTTTGGTTCAAAATATAACTTCAAAAGCCTTGAATATTTTCTGATAAAAATCTTTAAAAAATATTTTAAGAACATGCAATTGAACATCTTGTGTGTAATATAGCTGTTATAACACTGAATTTTTCAAAAAAAAAAAAATTTAAAATAAAAACTTTGAAAGCCATTTAAAATAAAAACTTTGAAAGCAAACTTTGAAAGCCTTGTTAGCGTCATCATATGCGTCGAACAATAATGCCCCAATAAATTAAAGGCAAAATTTTTAATATGAGCAAAGGTTTTAAAGTGATAATAATGTTATTTTTATGTAATATTAAAGATTTAAATGCTGTTTGTGCAAATATGAAATTTTAGTTGTTAGATATATAAATACATAAAAATTGTGTGCTGCCCATATAAATTTGAAATTTCCCAATTTTAAAATGAACAAAATATCCTGCGCCATTTTTGCTCTCTAATAGTATTTTTTTTCCTAATTTTGTAGTTTAGATAATATTCACATAATATTATCTATGTATTATTATTCATTTTTATAAAAAATTAGCTTTTTTAATATTTAATTACCAATAATAAAAATAATACTAATCATTTTGTAATGTAACTACTGATTTACAATTAAACCATTCAAAATACTAAATTTTGCTGAAGTTCAGCTTCAAAAATTATTGGGAAATCTACATAAATACCACACAACTCCTATGTATTTACATTTATAACATTTTTGGTTTATAGCATGAAAAGGCATATTTCACTTTTAAAACATAACTAAAGGTGATATTTTTGATGTATTTGACAAGGATAATGCTAGGCCCGCAAATATGAAATCTCACTTAGTATTTTGTGAGAATTGTATTTTATGTAGGTATGCAGTTATTAATGAGTTAGGTGGGGAGCTACCGATATGATATACAAGTCTGGAGGGAAATAAAGAAGAGCTGGGACCCCATGCTTTATAGAACTGCAGTCCGTTTTGACTTTTCGATGAAAATCACCATGGCTCCTAGCATTTGGATGGATTCAAAGAAGCAAACTTTGTTGTAATTAAAATCTCAATCTTTAATTTATCCGCCGCCCTTCATTTTCTGCAGCCAGCCGGCTTCAAATTTTTAGAAGCGTTGAAGCAGCCAATTGGCGAGATGCCTATTTTGGCTCCAAATTGAAGATGAATCCTTCCTGACAAGAATGAGGCTGACTTTGAAGGTAATGAAAAGGCTAATCCTTTCTTCCTAATCTCCTTCTTCATGTTTGAATACTTGATCGAGGAAGCTGATGATGGGTGACAAGTTCATCTCTTTTCTGCAGTTTTACGCCTCTTCTTCTGCAACGAAGAAATCTGCTTCTCAGGAAGAAGACATAACTCACAATCAGAAAGGGTTACGGATGTTCTCCAGATTCTTTCTGCTGTTTGCTGTATTTGCTGCTGGACTTCAGGGTGGACTTGGAGATACCAATCCTCAAGATGGTGAATCTCTTGCCCTTCTTATCTCCTTTCGTTTTTAATTGAAATGAACATTCAGAACGGATAAAAATTATGTGTTCTGTATTGTATGATGAAACGGCAATTGAAATCATGGAGATTTAAAAATCAGAACGTTCAAGAATTCATCTCCTCGTTTGTTTGTTATAGCTTTGAGAACTTCTTTTGCAGCTGCGGCTCTTAGATCTCTGATGAGCCAATGGCAGAACACACCGCCGAGCTGGGGAAATAATGATCCTTGCAGTACGCCATGGGAAGGAATTGTGTGCAGTGACTCCAGGGTAACCATGCTGTACGTCTGTCTCTATCACCTTTATTTGTTGTCATAATTTTTTCTTCACTTCCTGCTGAACCCTAAACACGATGGGAATCAAGGGCACGTTGAGTAGCGATATATCCCAACTAACCCAGCTGCAATCACTGTACGTAATTCCTACCAGCACCAAAGATTTCGAGTCAAATTGAATCATAGTTAGAACATTTAACGTGTGAAATGTTCTTCCAGATTATGTTTCAGAATCAGCTGGATATTAACTGTAAGAATTTGCAGGGATTTGTCTTTAAACAGTGATCTGGGTGGCCCAATTCCTCCAAGCATTGAAAATCTGAAGCAGCTCACCACCCTGTGAGCAGAAACCTTTTTGTTTGTTACTATGGTTCATATTCTTTCCTCGAACAGCCTCATTGAGTACCGTAGGATTAACTATAGTTTGTTTACAGGATCTTGGCTGGTTGCAGTTTCACCGGTAACATTCCACAGGAGCTCGGCAACATGGCTAAGCTCTCATTCTTGTAAGAATCATCTCAGTGATCCTGCCATCCTGCCTCACTTTTTTTTAAGGGGATTTAAGTCCTCAATGATGATATTTTGTTAAAGAATTAGAATGGAATATGAGGTTTTAATTCTATCTTGTTTGTCATTTCAAGGGCTCTCAACTCAAATAAGCTCACTGGAAGGATACCGTCTTCAATGGGACTGCTCTCTAATCTATACTGGTTCGACCTAGGAGATAACCAGCTCACCGGAGTTATCCCAGTTTCCTCAAACAGCACCCCTGGCTTGGACCAGCTTGTCAACACAAAGCATTTGTTTGTGCCTCCATTCCTATTTTAATCATCCATTCAGCAAATTTTGATATTCTTTCATACAAATAATTCTCTTCAATTCAATCGACAGCCATTTCAACAAAAACCAGTTATCAGGCGCAATACCAGAAAGTCTCTTCAGTTCCAAGATGACGCTTATCCATTTGTAAGCCGTTCTATCATTCTGTAAATTTGGCTGCCTTTTTCAGTTCAACATTCCAAGATCCTTTTAAGAAACAAATTACACCGAATGTTTTGCAGACTCTTCGATTCAAACAAATTTACAGGCCAGATTCCAGAATCCCTAGGACTCGTAAAATCACTAGAGGTTCTGTGAGTATACTAGCCTGGTACCCCTGCTGTTCATATCTTCTTCATCTGATATCGTAGTTGAAAAGGGTGATTAATCTTTACTTTTGGTGCAGACGACTCGATAGGAATTCCCTAGGCGGTACAGTTCCTTCTAACATAAACAACCTAGTCAGACTCAACGAGCTGTAAGTAAAAATTTGACAGTTACAGACGATATAGCATTGAAAACACATTAAAAACTGCAAAATTATCTTATCTGATGCACCGTACTATTCATTTCTTCAGGAGTTTGGCTAATAATGAACTAACTGGATCAATTCCCGATCTGACGGGGATGAGCCTTCTCAACTATGTGTAAGGACTTGCTAAGAATCTACTACACATCCATAATCTAGTTTTTATACCGTGTAATCTTTTCTTAGTAACTCGTGATGCTGCAAAATATTTGGTAGGGATCTGAGCAACAATTCTTTTGATCCTAGTCCAGCTCCAAACTGGTTCTCAACACTTGAAACCCTAACAACTCTGTGAGTTCCTTATTTGCATGAAAATGCTAGATGTTATGTTGGTATTAAGGATCACCGATCATCTCATGACATTCATTAATTTGGCCACAGGGTGCTGGAATCTGGAGGGCTCTATGGGAACATTCCAACACAAATGTTCAGTTTTCCCCAAATGCAACAAGTGTATGTAACCCCAATTTATTTTCATAGTGGAAATTTACTGATCCTCTCATACAATAAATCATGAAAACCATTATTTTACAGGTTACTAAGTAACAATGCATTCAATGGTACCCTAGATTTGGATAAAACCAGCTCAGAGTTGCAGCTCGTGGATTTCAAAAACAACGCCATTTCTGGGTTCAAATCATCTCCGGGATTCAGTGAAAACCTAATGTGAGTTTCCGATTGAAACAGGTTTTTTATGAATTTTTGAATTACCTCCATTAATTCATGTTGAATTACACCTAGCTCGCTAATTACAGACTCTACGGGAATCCAGTGTGCACTACGCAGCTAGTAAATTCCATTTACTGCAGCCTTCAACAAGAGCTGCAACAGCCTTATTCCACAAACCTATCACATTGTAATTCTCCTTCATGTCCCCTCGATCAAAGTGTTAACCCTAAGAACTGTGAGTGTGCTTACCCATACGAGGGTTGGTTAGTATTCCGAGCACCTTTCTTTCGGGATACGTCAAACAGTTCAAGGTTCCAGGAACTAGAAAACAGTCTTTGGACTCAATTAAAGCTTTCTCCCCATTCTGTCTCTCTCTCAAACCTCCTCCATAACCGAGACAACTACCTGCAAGTAGATGCAAAACTCTTTCCATCTCGAATGTATTTCAACCGATTAGAGGTTATCAAAATTGGGTTTGCTCTGAGCAACCAGAGCTTCGACCCTCCGAGCATTTTTGGACCATACTATTTCATCGCCTCTGCTTACCCTTTCTCATCAGGTAAAGTATCTGCTCTGTAAATTTAAGCGAGAATATTTGACAACCTGTGGTTAAAACACATTAAAATTTTGCAGTCAACAATGGCGGAGGAAGCTCAATGAGTACAGGAGTAATCGCTGGAATTGCGATTGGTTGTGTCCTTCTACTTATTGTACTTTTCGTTGTTGGAATCTATGCCTTAAGACAGAAGAGGAGAGCCCAGAGAGCCGTAGAACAAAGCAAGCCTTATGGTAAAGTTCCAAACATAGCGGAATTCATAGGAAATGTTTATTTTGATGATTTTTCCAGTAGATGAGAAAGAAAAATACGTTCATATAGCAAAAAATGTTTCCAAATCCTAGCTAACAATCTATTTTTTTTATAGCCCATCATGTTTAGCACAATCTGGATCTAGAAAAACATTTCCAAACCCTGAAATCTTAAAATAACCGAAGTACTAATCTTCCGTTCACTATTTTTAAGCATCATGGCTATCCGCTGGAAAAGAAAGCGATGGTGCACCGCAACTAAAAGGAGCAAGATATTTTTCCTATGAAGAACTCAGAAAGAGCACTAATAATTTTGCAGAAGCTAATGAAATCGGATCTGGAGGCTATGGCAAGGTAATTCCCTGAGATGTCAAGTAAAGCTTCAAGTAGTATACATACCACCCAACTGTTATGAATTTACACACCTAAAACCTATATTTTGCTTTTTTACATTTATGCCATCTAAAACTTTTAAATCACCTCAAAAATAAAACTATTTTTAATTTTAAAAGGCAAAATGCACCTTTTTTATGCATAGCTAAGATTTATGTGTAAAATTAAAGTTCATATGTTAGATATGTAAATACATAGGGATTGAGTGGTTGTATACCAATCTTCAAAAAAAGAATAAATGAAAAATACTAAGCAAGTCAGTTTATATCGATTGAAGGTCTACAAAGGATATCTTTCAAGTGGGGAAGTAGTAGCAGTCAAGAGAGCACAACAAGGATCCATGCAGGGTGGCCATGAATTCAAGACTGAGATTGAATTACTTTCAAGGGTTCATCACAAAAACCTCGTAGGTCTAGTAGGTTTTTGCTTTGAGCAAGGAGAGCAAATGCTGGTATATGAGTACATCCCAAATGGAACCCTAAGAGAAAGCTTAATTGGTATGCTGATTCAAGAACTTTTCAAACTACTCGTACTCCTACCCCAGATATTCTCTACCTCCTACTCCAGATATTCTCCTACTCCAGATAAATTAACAACTATATCAAAATTCTTCTCTGCAGGTAAAAATGGCATAAAACTGGACTGGCCCAGGAGACTTAAAGTTGCTCTAGGTTCAGCAAGAGGGTTAGCTTATCTCCATGAACTAGCAGACCCACCAATAATCCACAGAGATGTCAAATCTACCAATATTCTTCTGGATGAGAATTTGATTGCAAAGGTTGCCGATTTTGGGCTTTCAAAGCTTGTATCAGACAGTCAAAAGGGGCATATTTCCACCCAAGTCAAGGGAACCTTGGTAGGTTCCTTATAGATCATTGGATTTTTTTCTTTTATTTTATTTTTCAGATAAGTGTTAAAATAGTCTAACTTTTTGCAGTGGGTCAATTTAATCCCAGAGTGTATAAAAGTGCCAATTTGATCCCCAGATTCTTTTAATATGGGGGAAGTAGTCCCCACAACGTACAATTTCAATTCAATTTAAAGAGTGGGGACTAATTTCACACTTTTATAAATTCTAGAACTAAAATTGCCCCATATACATAATAAAAGGATTATTTTAACACTTCATTCTTTTATTTATTGGGGGCATTTACATAGCACACAATTCTTATATATTTGTATATCTCACACCTAAACATTCATATTTACACACACAGCACTTAATTTTTTAATATCACAAAATATAACATTATTACCACTTTTTAAAAGTCAAATACACATTTTCATGCATCGGTTTAAAACACCAATATTTTCATGCATCGGCTTAAACCACCAAAGTGCTATGTGTGTAAATATCAACGTTTAGGTGTGAGGTATTTAAATACATAAGAATTCTGTGCTACATATGTAAATTTCCCCCTTTTTAACATGATTACACATGTTTTATTGAGAAGCATTCTTTATGCTGATTTGCATTTTCATCTACATTTACAGGGCTATTTAGATCCAGAATATTATATGACCCAACAGTTGACAGAAAAGAGTGATGTTTACAGTTTTGGAGTGGTTATGTTAGAATTGATAATTGCGAAGCAACCAATAGAGAAAGGGAAGTATATTGTTAGGGAGGTGAGAATGACTTTAAATGAGAAGGACAATGAGTACTATGGTCTGAGGGAGATGATGGATCCTGCATTACGCAGCACAACAAATCTTACAGGATTCAGGAGATTTGTAGAGCTGGCCATGCAGTGTGTTGAAGAATCCGCTGCGCAGCGTCCGACGATGAATCAATTGGTTAAGGAAATTGAAACTTTGTTGCAGAATGCGGGGCTGAGCTCGAATGCGAATTCTACGCCTTCATCTGCGACGGACTTTGGGAGCACGACGAATGCTCATCATCCATACAATGAACCGCTGCCTGGGAAGGAGCTGCATAGTGATTCTTCCTTTGATTACACTGGTGGTTATTCATTTGCCTCCAGAATTGAACCCAAATAGTGATGTTTTTTTATATTTTTTTAATAGATTGTTTGGTAAATATTTAAATGTTTTTGAAAAATATGAAGGATTGTAGTTTTATATAGCAAGGTGGAGAAAATCAGGCATTTTAAGTGTTCAGTGGTTTGGAGGTGGAAAATGCAATAATCAAGAAGCTAGTAATGAGATTTAAAGTCATTAGAGTCTTATTCTTTTTCAGAAGACTTGTTCAAAGCAACAGGAGGAATTTATTCTTTTTTACTTTTCTTACTTTTGCTTTTCTATATGCTGATGCCTTTAAATTTTTCAATATAGTTTTTGTTGTGCAATTTTTGCGAAGGATTAATGAACATGTTTTGATGAATATTCATTTCCATTAGACTGTTGGCTTTCCTGCATTCGTTGCATAAGAAGAAAAAAATAAGAAGGGAAAAGTCATTTTTTCTTAAAAATAAATCTAAAAAGGGATTCTGATAGTAAAACAGCAATATCACAGTTGCTTTAGGATTTGGAATTTTTTACATGTTTTTTTTTTTGTCAAATTGTGGATCCTAATTTTTTACATAGGAATTAATGTACTGTGAAGATTTAACCACAGTTATTTGCTATTTTTAGTTATTTCATTAGTGTTTTGAATATTTTGTTATATTATTTTGGCCGTTTTAGGCTTTTTATTATAAAGAGAGAGCGAGAGAGAGAGAGAAAGCTGTCTTATGGTAAGAGAAATTATGTGAAACCTGCAGTTGAGTGAATTTTTATATATAATTCTTGTGAATTTTTTATGCTAACTTTTTCTTTTTCTAGGTTTTACAAGGACTTCACCTATTTTCCAACAGATCTAAAATGCAACCTAGATTTAGATTCAACAACATGATACAACAAGCAATTTTGCAAGTGATAATCTTTCAATCTTAACAATACTAACCTATCTTTTGATAAAACAAATAAAACAATGATAAAATTCAATTCAGATGAAAGAATTTCCGTCAGCTAATATAAATTACTTACATTAATGTTTGGGGCAAAAAAACATTTGAAATTTTAAATGAAAGAAAGAAAATTAGATTGCAGAAAATTTAAAATTTTAATAAAAAATGATACGCATTCAGGTACACTGCCAAAAAAAATTCAATAAAATCACAACTAAATAGTTTGCAGTTTTTTTTTTTTTTTTTTTTTTTTTTTTTTTTTTTTTTTTTTTTTTTTGTCCCCGCCTTCAATTCTTTATTTTATTTACAATCAATATACTGGGCATTCGAGCACACTGCCAAAAAGACTCATGAGTACGAACAATAAGTTATAATCTCAAGTCTCCTCAAACTAAGAAGAAGAGATGAAAATAATTGAAGTTAAATCCAAACTTAAAAAAACTTCCTAGAAGAGGAATCTGTCGCAAAAGAGCTTCATTTGTTGTCCCCGGCTTGGATATTGTTGGCCCTAAAGAACTATTCAAGAGATTTTATCTAAGTATATAAGCGTGTAATTGTAAGATTTCATATAAAGTTATCCAAAAATCATCATATATAGTAGCTGCATGTAAATGTCGACTGACTGACAACATAGACATTTACAGATGATGTACTGAAAGTCAAAACCAAAAAGAAATGCTAACAAGAGAACAATCATAAACTTTACTTAATAGGCCAATGTTGACAAATCAGGTCACATACTATAAAAATTCTTATGATTTTTTATTTGTGTGCAGTCATACAAATTTGTTGTGGGTTTTTTGTAATAACTTAGCCAAGAGTATGAAAGGCATGCCTTTTCTTGTCCTAGCATGTTCCATATAGGATAAGAAAATTATATTATGTAGTTTCTCCAGTTCTCAATAAACACCTTTTTCATAAAAAATTGCATCACATATTTGATCTAATTAATATTGAATGTGCTAGAATGCAAATAAAATGAAAAATTCGAAGAGGCCATATTTTTTTTATCTACCACTTTGTGTATCTAGCCCGGTGCCCTTTCCACCGTTTCTGATGGAGAACAATGCTTGAGCCTCAAACTCACCAATCACTTGCTATCCACTTAGTTTTCTCTTGAAAGAGCTTTAAAGGTTTATAAAGTTGCTTAGATGTTAATTTATTTTTTATCAATATTTAAGATGTTATTTAGTTTGATAATATTGATTTTATTTCATATTCAACTTTAATTGTTTTCTACAGACATTTTTGAGATTTATATGTTATGGTTACGTAATAAACTTTGTTAAAATGCACATGAGAGGTTCTTAAATGAGTATCACATTGATTAAAAACAAAATAAAAAATCCTACAGCTCGGATTCAAAAGATCAGCCTACCAAAAAAAAAACGAACATGAGAGAATTGTACACATTACAAATGAAATAATAATATAAATTTATAAATTTTAATGTTTGACATGTCAAATGAATCATCCATCTGTTTTCAATTTCTAATCTCCCTAAACAGGTATTGAAAACATTCACATAGTAAATCACATGAATTATATGATTAACACAAAAGTCAACTGAAAATTATTTATCATTATTTTTCTACATTATCAGGTAATCATTGTTCGCCACGAATATAACATTTCAATCAATGTGCTATCACACTCTAATATTGCACCTAATAGAGATCATTCTAAGAAAAAACAAAATCGGTTTGCTTCACAGTAAAAATGAGAGCGTAAACATTCATTTGAAGTGAAGTACATGAAAACAAATTCCCCATGAAAGTGACAAGTTCCGCTACTGAGAGCTGTAAAAAAAAAAATTTTTTTCCTTTAATAAAATAAGAGAATAAAATTCAAACTAACATATTACTTTTATTCATAAACAATAAGTTTATAGATAAAAATAAAATTCACTGCAGTTTAAAAAAACTAAAGACACTGAATTCACACGTATTTCACAAGGCATCCTTTTTTTGTCTACAATTTGGACGAGTGCATGCATAAGTTATTATAGAAATTAATGAACACTAACGTATAAAATAGAAAAGAAAGGCTTCATTATTTTATTTGTCCAAATTTTGGATTTCACGCACATAGAGCACGTTTAATACTTCCTAAAGAATCAATAAGTTGTTTCAGCTTAAAGCTAAGCCAGAATAAATCAAATAAGGCAGGCATAAAGATAATACATGAAATTATTCCTAAACATAATATTGGCTGATTGTTCATACGGATGCCTACTTTTATTGTGCGTGTCTCTTCCTTGACAGGGTCTTAACCAAACCCTTGAAAATTTTCAAGAACCAGTACGCATTCATCACTGCGATCAAGGGAGGAACTGAGAGAATACTGTAGAATCCCAAAGGAAATATTGTCTTCACCTAAACAAGGGAAAATCCAAAGTTAAAGATGATGTAAAAATAATGTGAAGATTAGAATAATCATACAAACACAAAGGCATATGTGAAGATTGATTTCAAAAACCGCAATTTATTAGTTACAGAAAGAAATTTAGAATAAGTTTTGGGTGGTTTTTTGTTCTTAGAATCTGCTGAAATAAAGGTGTTCGTGAGCCATTTTTTTCCAGGCCTGCAGGCTCAAGCGCTGTCTGTTCATGCATGGCTAAATAGTATCTAGGCAAGAAAGCAATCTAATGCAGCAAACAATTTTTTTTTCAATCAGAAATAAGGCTAATCCAACTATAAGTTGATTCCAAAATATTTCAAATGACCAGTACATTCCAATTATGAGAGATTCTAAACTCCATTGTCCAAAATTTTGGATTAGTGCATGCATACAACAGCGCAAGTTATATAATACATAGTGATTATGTACATCACGAAATAAGAAAAGTAAACTTTTATAGATATTTCTTGCACAATTATTGAAAAATGCTATAGAAAGTAGTAACGCTGATGTGGCTTCATGGAGCAAATTAGAGGAATTATTTCAAAGTTGGTTATAGTAACTGAATTGAGGGGCTGTTAGGTAAGCTGCCAAAGAGGTTTTAAATTAAAAATAAACAAATAAATAAATAAATAAATATCATGAAAGACGGCGTATTCCGTGAAATTTTCTGCATCAGGTATTTACTTCAAATGAAAGGATTTGTATTGTGATCCAACACATTTGTTTCTTTTATATGTAAATAGCCTTTAACACAAAACGCTCTCGTGGTTCATTTGCCTTGAAAGCATGTATTAAGCTGATTGCTTCTTTAAGCTGAAAGAATAATAAAGTATTTGAAACATTCTAGCCAACAAAACTTGAATACCGCATCAAAAAATGAGGATCCAATTTAGGAATAGAATATTTCCCTTGATAGGAGATCCAGTTTAGGCATACAATAAAACCCTTCATATGTCGATCCAATTTAGGAAGGAAATATTTTAGTTTTATTATTTATTTTTTTACAGTTTCTATATATTCATTGTAAAATGTATATATATTAACTAGAGTGCTTAATGAAAGATCTGAATTTCATTCCACGCTTTTGTCATGAAAAAAAACCCTAGGTTTTCACGCATCTAGGATTTTTTCAGGCCTTCATTGTAGACTTATTATTGGCCTTCCTTGCTAATATTCTTTTTCTTTCTTCTTCGTGTTGTGACAACCTTTGCAATTGTTATTTTTTCATTAACCTGTGATGTCTGAGACTGTTAAACCTAATCTGATGAGGAGCGCAAGAACTCATCTTTCCCCTAGTGAACTGATAAATAAATACATCTATTATAGACTAAACAAGCAGAACTACTTAAAATGGTCTTAGCTAGTTTGTAATTATCTAAAAGGCAAAGGACAAAATTTGACATCTTCATGGCATAGGACCGAAACTGGATGATCAAAGTTATGATATATGGGATGAAAAAGACCCCATGATTATGACTTGGTTATGGAATTCAATGACGCCAAAAATTAGTGATACGTGTATGTTTATCACCCCTGCAAAAGATATTTGGGATGCCCGTTGTTGCTGCGAAACGGGGCAACAAAATAATAACAAAATATGTGAATATGCTGCACAATCTGTGGCAAGAACTCGAACAGTATAAGTTTCTTGAGACTGTTCTAAGGATGTTGTGATCTAGAAAAAAATTATTCAGAAAGATCGAGTGTATGGTTTTTTACTTGGCCTAAATGCATAAGTTACAATAAAATTTAATGAACACTAACATATGAAGGGTGTAAAGTCACTTATGCGGCCCACTTTTTCCATTTTTTTATTCTCGCTGCTAACGTGCCTACCTGCAACAGCTTTGCTGTCTTGTACTGCTGCTTCGCATAGACCTCGTGAACATAATGGAATTCTTATAGCTCGCGTTCATTCGACCTGAACTCTCCGAACTCCTAACAGCATTCTGTTATTTAGCTGATCATACTTTTCTGAGGCTTCCAAGAGTTACCTTAACCATACCAAAGAGGACTTCATTGTCTTGTTGTTTACAGAAAGAAGGAGTTGGAAAAAGAACTGGTTTGCCGTCCAGAAGCATGAAACAACGGCTTTGTTGTTTATCCAGTCCAAAAACAACAAATTTATGAATCTAGGCTCATGTCCAAACAAAATTCAGAGCGGAGCCGTTAATAACATTATATTTACTTTTTAATTAACACTCTTCTGTTTAAATTAAAAAAGAGTTGTCCCTTTAGATAATCATGTCTTAAATTTGAATTAGACGATAACATTCAATTTAAATTAAAATTTTTAAAATCTATCTCTATGAATAGGATTGGGACAAATATTATTTGCATCAATTATAAATTCAAATCAAGTCACTGTGAAATCCACTTTTCTCGCTTCTCGACCCGCTGCCTCCATTCTCTCTCTCAGTAGTACAAGATTCCACTCTCTTCCCAATATGCACAAATCCCAGAGCCTCACCTTCCATCTTCAAAATTACATTCAATAAATCAGAAAGTGCATCCATCAAAATATTTTCTTGTCTCAACTTCTTTGACCTATGGGAAATCCCATAACCAAAAATTTCTTCTCAGAGTTTCCATAAGAAACTATGAGAAGTCTTCAATCATCTTACATCCATCTAAAATTAGAAGTCAAACAAATGTCAAGAGAATGAAACAGTAAAAAAAAAAATCAAGGACTCATTATTCTCCTACTTTTGCATATAAGACATAAACTTCAGATTTAAATATATGATCAATACTCTTATACTATTATTAACTCAGTCCCCACATATGCATGGCATACATTCTAGGACCCTTTCAATTCAGTATTATAAAGCCACTTGTTAAAGGTGGTCTAGTAATACAGTGATAACTTAGGTCATTTAAAACAAAATAAAACACTATGCCAATGATTTACTTTAAACCTTAAGAAGCAAATGTGAAAAGAATGTCAAATAATGCAACATAACATAATCTTTACCATTAATCAACAACTTATCCTCATTTAATTCAATATGTTTCATGACAGGGAACAAAATCCAAAAGAAATGCAAAATACCTGCTCAAAATGCAGATACGTGTGGGCAAAAAAGAAGATGAAGAGAAGGATTCTTACAGCCTGCAAAGTAAAACAAATAAATCAGAAATTAAACATCCTTAAATCAAGCACTTCGAAATGTTTTAAATTAAACAGCCTGCATATGACTACTTAAAATAAATCGCATGCTTTCTAATTATGGGTTTTAAATCAAGCACTTCGAAATGTTTTTCCATCGTTTTTATTTTCTATCAAAATCACGTTGATATCAAGAATCGAGGCTATGGAGACATTTTATGTTAAAGCATAGCCAATACCAATGTTAAGAGTTTGATAATGGAGTAAACTTTACAAAGTTGGAAGACATAACACTGTGCCAATCAAAGCCAAACAAAAATGCAACATATCAACATAACTACAACAAATATGTAGTATGTTATGTGAAGAAATTAACTTCATATTACAAGGTTTGTCATCTAAAGTTCAATTGTACTCTTACGTAACTGTGCAGAATATCAAACTAACCTAAATGCAAATCTAAATTTCTAAAAGCATATTATCTTGATTAAAATAAACATAAGTGTAAAATTCTGATATTCCTATTTGAGATTTATTCTCGTTTATTCCTTTCTTATTATGTTGTAATTCTTTCTTATTTGTTTTTTGTTCTTTGTTATATCTTTGGTATGTTGTAATGGTAGGAATAAGTTTGCCTTAGCCTTTACTTATTATATAAGAAGAAAAATTGTAATTTAATAATCAAGTAATATGAAGATACATATTTTCCCCACCTTTCTTCATGGTATAAGAGTGATGAATAAATCCCTAGCTCTCTTCAGCCTGCAGGCCCACCTCTGGTCGCTCCTACAGACATTGGAACCTCTCCAATAGTGTCCAACCTGTCAAGCAGTCGAAAAATCGCGATCGTATCGGCTCCTGCCGTCGGCTTCCCAAGGAGCATGAATCGAAACTGTATCACGTCACTGTAAGCCGCGAACCTACTGTGTCCAGACCATAGTCTTGTCGTCGGAGGTCATCCGGAGAAGTTCGCATTTTCGCCCGTCCTTTGGGTTTAATTGAAGTCCGATTTCGTGCAATGTCGTGAACTTTGTGTATTTGATGTGTGTATGTGACGAAAAAGGTCGTGACGATGTCTTCCTAAGGCTTGAAGTCCTATTGGGAACTTTTCCTCTGAGACTTCACAAAATAGCCCATAACCGCTCATTCATAAGACGATGGTCTTGTGCCATAAATGTTAGACATCAAAGAAAAATAAGAAGTGTCTGGAATTTCTAAAAGGGTGAGTCTCAATTCTAGTTTTCTAGGATGGTCAGTAGGAATTTCTAGAGCTAGAATCTAGGCTCTAAGGAGGAGAAGACAAGAACTCACAAAAATGAGGTCAACAAATGGACCCCCAATAGGTGTGGTGTGCGGAACAGGCACACCGCGCGTATTGGTGTTGACCGAAGTGACCAACAAACCAAAGAATTGTTTAAGAAAAGGTCAAATTTGATATGAATTGAATTTGAGTTGGGTTCACAATCAGGAACCCAAAGCTCGAGAAAGATTTATGTGAATGAATGAGTTGGGCCCTTCGCTGGAGGGTTAACAAGCAAATTTTGAATCATCAAGTTTCGAGGAAATAAGATTTCAGCTGGAGATATGCGAATGATTTCCAAATTTTTGAATTTCAGGTATTTTGAAAGATGGAAATTAGAAATTGGGTATTGTCCCCGAAATGAGAATTGAAACTATTCCAAAATATGCAGAGTGCTGAGTGCTGAGTGCTGAGTGCTGAGAAAGGAAATGATTGAAATTATTTCAAATATGCTGAGTGCTGGGTGCTGAGAAAGGATAAGGATTAAACCTACTACAAATATGTTGAGAAAGAATAAGACTAAGCCTATTCCAAATGTGTTGAGTGCTGAGTGCTGAGTGTTGAGTGCTGAGTGCTGAGAAAGAATAGGACTGAACCTATCTCAAATGTGCTGAGTGCTGAGTGCGTGCTGAGTGCTGAGAAAGAATAGGACTGAACCTATCTCAAATGTGC